GCATATTAGGTTTTCGTATGCTGGTGAATCACACATAGTAAATCGCCAAAGAGAAGAGTGATTTATGCTCCAATCCTGCCAAGACTTTAATCAATATAGGGTGTCACATCTCAGGGGGCTGGGGGAGGTAGTAAGGCAAAAAGAAGGTGTCTAATATTTGTCTCAGTAATTTACATTCAACTTCAGGGAAATGTAACAGATTAAACCAAAAAAGAAAGTAGATTTGGATTAGTAAATGAGGATTTAAGAATTCTGTGTCAGATGCAAATATGAAAAATGGCATGTAAGAAAATTCTGGGAGGAAAAGCCCGTCATGTAGTTTATTCTATATACTATTTGAGGCTTCACAAAATAAAATATCACACGTGCAAATTACATTTCTTGGCTCAGGGCATTAACTAAACTGTGGAGTTTGGAAAGTACAGCATCTTCATAACCGTGCACTTTTCACAATGACTATATTATTGGAAACTAACTCCAAGAAAAACAAGTTTGAAAGATGTTACCCAAATAACTCAAGAATTTATATCCTACAATATGACTTGATTGAACAAGGTAAACTTTAGGTTAGAATATTCTTACGTTTCATTCACATACTAGTTATTAAAGTGTAATCTGCTACCATTTTTTAAGTGTACAGAAATAAGTTATAGAACCAAACAACTTGGGTATTTTATGCCTTAGTCTTCTTCTAATTATGCCCTATCTTTTTGAAATGTTATAAAATGAGACATTAGGCTTTATAGGAACCATTAATCTACTGTAATACAAAAACTTCAAAAGCACAGTGTCGCTCCATTTAAAGTAATTCTTAAATTTCTCTATGCCAAGTTTCATAATTATCTGTTAGAAGTGCATCTGTACTTATTTTGAAACTTTCCATATCAGGGCATTAAGTCCACGCCATTGAAAAGCAGGCAACAGGGGAAATATTAAATAAATATAGACTTGTTCAGCTTGCCATCTCTATTAAAATTCCAAACCAAAAACTAGAGCCAAGATTTGACAAATATTTTGCACTTCTTATAGTAAATTTTCATGGAAAAATTACTACTAAAACATAAAAGGCTTGGCAAGTCTTTCAATCTTCTGTCCATAGATTGCATGGACTTTTAAGACAAAAGAATAGTGTTTGTGAATATACGTATGTGCATATAAAATGTCTGATAAACCTAACTCGAACCTGTTCAAATTAAAAAACTCCTCAAATCTAGGGCTGCCAGAACCTAAATCACAATCTGGTTTGAAAGATCTCTGGGCAAAATCATCTTCTAACAATAATTAAAGAAGTAAGTATTTTAGATAACATAAGAGAACAGGGTCACTTTTTATTGTTACCCGAATTCACAGAAAATTGAATCCTAACCCAAATCTATAAACAAGCAATTGACTCATACAGAGACTTGACCACGTACATAATTACTTTTCTCTTTTTGTTGTTATTTAATGGTAAACAGTTAATTAACTGACCTCTGTTGTAACAGCAAGTTCAGGCGACTAATGTTTAGTTTTGAAAAAATAATTGGAGGAAGCTGATCAAGGTCAGATTTTGTCCTTTGACAAATTTCAAATATATTTCCTTATATTTTCTTTCATGTTTTAAGATCTTTATTTTTTTAGCTCAACTGTCTAGCAGGTGATACTCTCTTTTTCATCCCCTTGTGGTAATGACAGATGGCTCCAACATTTATTCTAGTTTTCATAGATAGCATACTAATGCAATAGCCCCAAGCAAACTAAATCCACTCTCTGTTTTGCTGCTAACTTACTGAGCTACAATGAGCAAGTTTATGAATATTTCTTTGCTTTACCATCATGTTAGTTCCTCCGATTTTCTGATGTCTAAATGTTGTTAAGAGACAGATGTATGTTCTATAAGAAACTGAGAGCTCAAAGACTTGCTGTTTCTCTCTCATACACACACACACACACACACACACACACGCTGCACATATACATAAAACACAAAAAATTTATAGTTTGCCTTCTTTCACAGTTTCTCTTATACTCTGCATAAATTATTCCCTTAGTCTGTTAAGTAATTAGAGGAGAAAGAAACCAAAGTGAAAGAAAGCAACATGTCTGGGTGAATGAAAAAGAATCTTAATAGGAAAAACATAAACTGGACTTGAACAAACAAAGTAATTTTAGTTTTGCAAATTTACGATGCAAAACATCTTAGATTATTTCTTTGGAAGTTAAGAATTAAGACAATAACTCTTGCAATAATCATAAAAAATAACAATACATTACAATGCAAACAGTGTATTTTGATAAGGAGTTCAATTGTAAGTATTCTATTTCATTAATCAGTGGCAGAGTTAGAAAACTCTAGGTAGGCATCTGCGACTAAACATCTTCTCAAGTTAATCACTACAATATTCCCACGTATGTAACTTTGAACATAATTTTTGCGGATCTAAGATCAAAATTCTATGCTAAATCCACAAACTTCCCATGTTTAACTTAAACTAACTTGAAACAGGGTTTTGGAACAACACATTTAGCTGCAAAGTATTAAGGCCAGGTGATTAAGACAAAAGAGTACTGTTCGTGAATATACATATGTGCATAAAAAATGATGAAAACATAATTAGAGTAGTGATGAGACATTTTTGAAGGAATAAGCAGTTCCCCTGTATTTAACTTATCTTGGCTCTGCAAACTTTAACTCCAGAGCTGCTGTTAACCTCAAGGGAGAAAAAAAACTTTTTAAAAAATGTAGTTAATAACTTTAAGAATATTCTCCAACCTATGTTGAGGACTTCAATTCAAAGTGGAGGTAAAATGCCAGGAAAAACATCAAGTTTTACACTGATTAAACATTTATCACAATACAGTCATTGCAGAGAGTTTTCTCAAGCAAATGTATGTGTTTGTGTGCGCGTGTGTGTGTGCGTGTGTGAGTGTGTGTGTAAGAGAGAAAGAGAGTTGGATACTGATTATCTAGTACAATGTGTGGTGCAAGAAACACACAAAGAGGATTCAGAGGGGAGTGGATGTTTGATTCCTAAAGAGAAAAACAGCGTTTCACCAATTTATGGGATAGACAACTGTATAACCATCACATTTGAACTGGCTTCAAATTTCACCTAGCATTATTCATTATCTCTGAAACAATTTTCTGCTCTAACACGATTGAGGGCAATTATTTTATATTCTGGGGGGACCAAGAACTCCAAGTACCTGAGTAAATGCCATTTAGTGATCTTGGTCCACACCTGCCCCCATCTTTACTGCCACCTGTCCATACACTCGGGCACTCGCGCGTGGACACACACATAGACACACACAGACACAAACACTATTTATTCAGAGTAGTCAAAATGAAGATGCCATACCTAGAGACACACACCCATGCCCCATGTAGATGATGGCAAATAAACATGAAAAATGATTTCTGACTAGGTCAGAAGCGCACATTTGCCGAGCTGGAGTTTAAGTCCTTTTCGTTTTACAGCCCTCCTAGGCGCTAGTGAGAAGTCTGTCTCCAGGGAAGAAAAGCTACCGTTTCTTCATTCCTATTTCTTCCTAGTGTCCTCCTCTGCCTCTTTCTTTCCCACCTCTGTTTCCCTAACTCTTCACCAGCACACACCAACTCCGTTTCTTCTCCCAGTCTTTAAACTTATTTAGAGGGTACCGAAGTTTCCGCGCAAATTTTGCGCGCAGTTCCCACGTGCCCGCTTCAGGTCTTCAACTTTCCCTATTCTCTTTCTCCCAGCGTCACTTAACTTTTCCCTGCAGGGTCGGTGGGGGACAAAGCGGAACTGCCAAAGGAGGTGGAATGATGGTCTCTACCCCGAAACTGACAAGTTGCCCCACTCCCGCCCCCTCTCGGTAGATCCTCCCCCACTGAGCGTTCATTAGCATAAAACTGGTCGGGCCAGAACCCGTCCAGTGGCCTCCTCCAAGCGCGCGCTTTGCTGGGCAGGGGAAGCCAAGGCACCCAAAGCATACAGTATTCAGGCCGGCAGAGCATCCCAGAGCAAAGTGTGCACCTGCTTGTTGCATGAGCTACTAACCTAAAAAAAGAAAAAAAAGAAAAAAGAAAAAGGAAGAGAGAAAAAAGGAAGGCGACTTTGGAAAGAAAGAGACTGAGAGCTTGAGAAGAGCCGAGGTCTTCCTTCCCAGTCTCTCCACTTCAGCGTTCAGGAGTCTCAGGCACCCAATTACCTCCCCCCACAGAAGAAAACCTGCTAGTGCCCTCACATCTGCCCCGGGACAACGTACCCCTTTCTTTCCTTTGCACACACGCTCACAAGCAGACACACGCACACATGCGCAAACACACAGACCCCTCCCCTCGGCGTGCTTCCCTTTGGGGCTTCAGGGCCGAACTCCCTGCTGGTCCCCTGGGATTGCCACAGGCTTCTCAGTCTCCGGGTTCATTCCCCTCCCGACCTCAAAGTGACCCCCTTGGCAGCTGACCCCCTCCCTCGACTACCCTGACGGACAGTCGCCCGAAGCGCGTCTCTCTGCTCCCCGAACCCTGGGGGGCAGATCACGACCTCCCCCAGCCCCTGGGGCGCCGCAGGGCGCCGCCGACCAGCCCCACCAGTGCCTGGAGGCTCTGTGTGGAACCCAGGTCGCCGGAAGTGCACAAACGCTAGCAGTAGCGCTGAGGGGGGATCCCTAAGACTCTGGAGCGCCCCGAAAAAGGGAGCTGTGGCTCCTGGAAAGGCGCCGTCCTCTTGCCTTTCACTCCCTTCACCCTGAGGCTCTAGGATCCAGAGTCCCACAAAAGCCAAGCCCCGGCGCCCAGCGGGCAAGGGGAGGACCGGGTCAGAAGAGCAAGAGCTGGGCACGGTGAGGTGCCAACTTCTCAGGGGGTCGGGGCGCTGCTGGCTGGCCCCGGGGAAGAAGAGAAGAGGGCCGCGCTCGCCGGGGCGCGCGGCTCCCGGGCGCGCGAAGCCAGGCGGCGCCGGGAAGGGAGCGAGAGAAGGGCAGAAAGGCGGGTAGGAAGGGACCGCGGGCGACGGGGGCTGTCCCCTACTATTTACCTTGCGTTGGTGCAGTCATTGTAGAGGGTCTCAAAGTCTTTCCTGGAGATGAGTTTGCAGCGGTTCACTCCGGGCTGGATGGCGCCCAGTCCCCTCAGGATGCGAACCTGTTCCACATTGCACACCACCGGTGTGATCTCCAGCCGCTTCAGCTTGGTGTAGACCGTGTGCAAGCCCCCCACCAAGTGCTTCAGGAACAGGTCGAAAGCCTGGGGCAGGCAGATCAGCTCACAGCCCTCCACTGTGAAGGAAGCCACTTTGGCCCCCCTCAGATCCACCATTTTGCACTCATTATTCTGGGGGGTGTTTTCCACTGGGGATGGAGTTGAGTACACGGGTTTCCCGGGGAGGGGGCCGCAGCTGCTGCTGCTACTGCTGCTGCTGCTACTGCTGCTGCTGCTGCT